CTTTTTATTATTATAAATTGTTTTGTATGTATGAATAAAACATTTTTCATATTTTTTTTGTGACATTGTTATGAAACCTACCTTCTCAGATTCCATTTGTTTTTAAATATCACGCGTATTCTGTCTTGTTAGCGACGTTGCCACATTTCTGAACGGTATTTTCTGAAATATTAGAGATAATCGGTGGCTTCCTATAAGACTCAATGTTAAACGCATCAAATTGTAAGTGCTAATATCTTTTTATTGGCTCTCCGTAGCTCTACAAAAATTTATACTAATCTTTTTTGCATAAATATCTACTAGAGTACCAAATTTTATTAAATTCAGAACGGTAGATCATAAACCGCCAGTACTACCTTAAGAGTGTCAAAGTAGCATCAAAATAGGTTTCACCTAGGTTGTAGATTATCTAAGTAGGCTCAAACTATTTTTAAGAGCGTCAAAGTAGCGTCAAGATTTTGACAAAGTAGAGTTAAAGGTTCAAAAGAGAAGTTAATGAGTATCAATATCGTCAAAGGTAGGTTTTACCTAGGCTATAAGCCGTCTAAGTAGGCGCAAACTATCCTTAAGAGCGTCAAAGTAGCATCAAAATTTCGACTCGAGCTCGGTGCAAGAAATGGGTCGCGTATTTATTAGGCATCGTATTCTCAGTTCCTCGGGATATATCGCCGGAACATGTCTGTAAATATCGCTCACGCTCCTTTAGATTCGTCCGGTGTCGCGCGCGGTCGTGGTAGAAGCTGATGGCACTACAATGCGTCATGTTTCTTTCGCTAGTCCCTGCTGTATCGCACGGAAGCTGGCGGCGGTAAATGTGCCCCTCAGGACGCATTTAACAGATACACTCTAATCCCGCGGAAGCACGATCCCGGCGATGCACGAGAACGACCGTCGTACTGAAAACTTGAAAAATAATGCCGGCGCGAGCGAGCGGGCAAGCGCGCGTGCACCGTTAAGGTTTCTTATCTCTCTTCCGGGTCTTCCTTCGTTCATCCGCTAACGCGGCTTTCCACCTTCTTTCTCCGCCCTGTACGCATACACCCACCTTCTTTCTCCACAACCTGTACGTATACACACACATACACACACACACACACACACACACACACACAGCTCGTAAATGTGGAACGGTTGACATCGGTCCGACAAACTCGATTTCCGGTTATCGCCAGTCATCGGCCCTCCTCCTCCGCCGCCGCCCTCCTCCTCCGGTAGCGCCAGTGAAAGCCCCCGAAATTGCATTCGAACATACGGCTATTAGTGTTGCCTAAACGGTAACGTCGCGTCAAACGCTACCGCGAAATTATGTGCTCAGGCAAGGAGGTGCGACTCCCGCTCGATTCCATCGGCGATGTAACGAGAGAAAGAGAGAGAGAGAGAGAGAGAGAGAGAGAGAGAGAGAGAGAGAGAGAGAGAGAGAATAGAACGAGTAAGAAAATTTGTTCTTTTCTTACAACTTATATTTAAAGTCGCTACTCCAGTCAAGTGTTGAACACTACTTTATTAAGAATAGAATTATTAATTATTAATTATTAATTGTTCGTTCACTCTGTTGGACGCCAAATTACATAGTTGAGGGTCACCCGGTTTCTGTCGGTTAATCTCGCCAATTAGTTTAACCGGAATTCTGAGAAAAATCCTCAACGAACTGCGATTGTCCATGTATCTAATCGATAATCGATAAAGTTACGAAACCCTAAAATGATGAAATCGTTTAACGTCGTAACATCGGAATCGTATCGACTATATTCAACGTTCGATATAGTATTCGATTTTTTATTAATTTTATTTTTATTTTATT